AACAAGACCCCACCACACACACACTAGCCGATGATGTCGATGTAAACGTTGTTCTCGTCAGGCGACTCACTCTGTTCTTGTTCAGACCCGTCGTCGTTGACTTGGTTATAGATGTTGTCGGCCATCTGTTCTGTCACAGAGGAGCTCTGGTCGTCTCCGAGACGTGGAGTTGGAATGGACACGTCATGACCTTGTTCATCATCCGTCCTGCTGTCCGGTGAATTCATGCTGTCCTCAACTCCAGCAAACTGAAGATATGAACTAGTGATCCTGTCGGCTACCGGTTCTGTCACAGTCTCGGGGTTCTGGTACGGGTTTTCCTGACTTCCACGTCTATCTTCAATGATTGAGTTGTATGGATTGTCATCTGAGACATCACGCTGATCTTCGTTGATACTGTCGTATAGAGGGTCGTCTGTGATAACTTCAGGTAAGCCGATAGGCGCTTCCTGTAGTGTAACAAGACCACTCGTTAGAGGCCAGGTTTGGCCCAGAACAGAGATGAAAATCAAAGCCATTACACTTTTTCTATGAAGACAGAAACTACAATAGAAACACAACAAATTCAAATACCTGTTGCTGAGTTTGGCCCGACGTGCGCGCACCCACGTGTTCGATACTGTTGTATGGAGGGTCGTCTGTGGTAACTTCAGCTAAGCCGATAGGCGCTTCCTGTAGTGTAACACGGCCACTCGTTAGCGGCCAGCCGTACATTGTTGGCCCAGGACAGAGATCAATATTAAAGCCATTTTTACACTTTCCCTACGAAAACTCCTGTTCTCAAACACTAACAGCACACACAAAAAAGTTAAAATACCTCTTGCTGAGTCTGTCCCGACGCGCGCACACCCACGTGTTCGGCAGAAGGGCGTCCTTTCCTCCTCAGGAAACAGAGGCCGGCCGCCATCGCGAGGATGATCAGGAACAGGGGCACTCCGACCGCCAAGCCCACGACTGCTGATTCTGGCAAGCCCACGGCTGGTGCCTGTGGTTTTGAGGAGTTTGGAGTTGTCCAGGCTGGAGTTGTCACAGGAGGGCTTTGTGAAGGTGTTTTCATCGAAAGTGATGGAGATAGTGTTGGGCTGTACGTAAAACAATAGAATAGCACACCAACTTTACAAAGTTGAAAGGAAAGATGCCATAGTTCATTCGATGTTAATGTTTTAGTGTATATACTGTATAAGAATTTTCAGCTCATTCATCTGTGTCATCATTCATGCCCTACTCAGATATCAGTACATGTATACGTTTGAAAATTCATATCTAAATCACTACAAAAGTGACACCATATTGTAAATGACATATCTCCTGAATTACAGAATGTAATAATACTCTTAAGAAAACATACAAAAGATGAGCTTTAGTATCATTATGGATTAGCTGTGTTAGAATTATATTTTAGTATAGTTCATGTATCTACCCTTGTTGTTTCTTCTTTGCCATACATTGTACCAGTAACAGTTGTTGAGCAATAAAGTTGATATGATTTGTTAATGTCTCGCTGTTTGGGGCTAGGAGTCAAGAAGCGTGAAGTTGAAAGGAAACATGTCATGCTTCATTCGATGTCAATGTTTTATTGCGTATATACTGTATAAACGTTTTCAGCTTATTCGTCGGTGTCATCATTCTTCTTACGTCTCGCTGTCTGGGGCTAGAAGTCAAGAACCGTGTACCGTGGCCGACAAGTACAAAATTTTACACCGCAACTTTTGGTGTTTTACACCGCAACTTTTGGTGTTTTACACCGCAACTTTTGGTGTTTTACACTGCAACTTTGGGTGTTTTACACTGTAACTTTTGCTGTGTTTTACACCGCAACTTTTGCTGTGTTTTACACTGCAACTTTTGCTGTGTTTTACACTGCAACTTTTGGTGTTTTACACTGCAACTTTTGGTGTTTTACACTGCAACTTTTGCTGTGTTTTATACTGCAACTTTTGCTGTGTGTAAAACTTACACCCCTCCCCTTTTATAATGGACGGTCCCCCTGTCAGGTCAAAGGTGACAAAGATGGCGGCGGCCTGAGAGTTGTTAACAGAGTCACAGTGTCGTGCTGTGACTGAGTGTGAGACATCAACAGCTGGATATCTGACGTCCTTGATAAATTTGTTGTGACGCATGGCAGCAAAAAGCAACATAATTTGTAATCACTGGACCTGGTCGAAACATTTTTAAATTTATCCCGATCTATAGGCCAAAGCTAGAAAAACCTTCAGAAAAAAACTAACGTCACAACGTAGCCAAGCTTTTCCTCTAAAAAACTTATGCACGAAAAGGATAACTCAGTCGACGTAGTTTGCATGCCATCGTTGTCACCTTTGACCTGACAGGGGGACCGTCCATTATAAAAGGAGAGGGGTGTAAGTTTTCCACACAGCAAAAGTTGCAGTGTAAAACACCAAAAGTTGCAGTGTAAAACACCAAAAGTTGCAGTGTAAAACACCAAAAGTTGCAGTGTAAAACACAGCAAAAGTTGCAGTGTAAAACACAGCAAAAGTTGCAGTGTAAAACACCCAAAGTTGCAGTGTAAAACACCAAAAGTTGCAGTGTAAAACGCCAAAAGTTGCGGTGTAAAACACCAAAAGTTGCGGTGTAAAACACCAAAAGTTGCGGTGTAAAATTTTGTTCTTGTCGGCCACGGTAACCGTGATTCAGTCAGGCGATAGGGAATGATGGTGCAATATGAATGGATATTGTTCGAGGTTTTCATTGTATTTTTGTTGGTCGTCTTTTGTAACCGTGCTGTCTAGCAAGCCGCAACACGGAAAGCAGTAGGCCATACTCTGGATTAACACTTAAGTACTATACTGTTGGTATAGCTTTAATCATTATCAGAGAGATTGTAAATGGTATTATATTTACCAAATCTGCAGCGTGGGTTCTGTTGTCGGGGAAACAGTTGTCGTTGGGCACGTCCCGAATAAGTCCTCTTCGTAAAGGTTTTTTCTAGAAGGTCCACTCAAGCAGGTTGGCGGACTTGGATTGACTTTCACGGCTGCAGGAATGAAAGATACAAGGTCGTGAGTTCGAGACGTGTACTGCTCATAGTGTTAATTATAAGTTAATGTAGAAGAAGAAGAAACAACTAGAAGTGAATAAAGTCCTTCTATATCTGCGAGGATTGTGCCATTATTATGTTACTGATGAGCAAGGGAAAAACCTACCGGTTTTCTTGATCCATTTCACGAGATCGAGCAAGTCACAATCGCAGGTCAACTTTTCTCCCAAGGATACCTCTTGGAGGCAAGGGAGATGCCGAAATACACCTGTGGCCAAAACACAGTGTGCATGCATCTAAACAACAATATGTATGTACACGGATCTGTGATATGAAATCACTGATTCTTAAATACCAGACAAACACAAGCATCAAAAATATATTGGGAAATTACGAAGCCTCCAGGCAACATAATTTGTATTATATCAATACCGTGTCGGTGTTTTTTTTAATCATTCAAGATAACCCTTTCCTCTCCCGGTGTCAATATCAAAGACACGCAGATCTAGACTACTACTTACAGAATTCAATATCTGCATATAACATGATATACATACGGGGTGACAAGGTCGTTACTCCGTTAAGGTGAAGACTTAGCAGAGTCGTCAGGTTGCCGAATGCATCTGGATCGATTGACGAAATGCTTTGAAAATTATTCCTGTTAAGGAAAATAGATTTTTTGCTTACAGCATCATATCAGGCAACGTTCAATGACCTATAGTCTCGAAATCAAACTGTAAAAGAAGACAAACTTCAAATTCATAATGATCTTACATCTTCATTATTACGTACATTGGCTCCTAAAAATTCTGCAGTGAACTTGCAAATCGGTTAGGCAAGCTATACGTTCCTGCTGTGTGACGTCGGCTCAACATTTTGTCACAAACACGCAATAGCTAGTTATATTGTCTATTAGTGCGAATACCCGTTCAGATAAAGAGATTTCAGAGCCGGCAATGTCGCGAAAGCAAACGGGTGAATCTTCTGGAGCCTGGAACTCGACAATCGCAAGCTGGTCAGGTTAGGGAGTGGCAGGTGATCTCCTGCCTCTGAAGATGATGAAAGATAATAAGAGACATCAGGATTTTCATACAAATCAGTCCAATTTCCATTCACGACTTAATAAAACTCTAATCCCAAATTCTGCTACACAACACTATAATATATATAACATACTGAGCCTGTCAACAAGGGAATGATCTGTGATCTTGCAATATCCTGCAACTGATACTGTCGCTAAAGACAAGTTGTAAGCTAAGCATGGTTTTGGAAATTAAACAAGATCGACACTAGGGAATGCCATTGAGGGAGTTTTCTAATCCGTCAGGCGGACAAGTCATCTCCCTTACCTGATCGGGGAAGTGTTGTGAAGTCTCCCGGGTGGAGTTCCGTTAGCGGCCGGTTATTTTTGATCGAGAGTGACTCTAAGGAAACGGGCAAAGCCGGCAAGGAGCTCAGCCTGGAATCTGACAAAAGCGATCTGCACGCGAGGCGGATAAAATAAAGGGACCATATTAGTATGCATTATCTATTTTCACATTCATTTTTACAATATACTAATTCTTCTGGAATTTAGCAGCTACGTGTAAAAATGATAAACCACACGGCAGTCGCTGATATTGATATGATGATCTGCTAATAATGTATCTTTGATGTTTGTATCGCTTTCTTGAATTCTTCCTTAAATATTTTGACAAGACACTATGGTAACACGATCTGCTATCATCACCAATTGAAATACAAATAGAATTAGTTTTCTGGGTTACTTACACTTTTTAAGCTTTGTAGGTGTGAAAACACGGCGTCGCTGATGCTCACGAGTGGGTTACCGAGTAGGCTCAA